TGTTTTTTTAACAAATTATCAAAATTTAAAGAAGAAATTTAAAACAAGATTTCAATGAAAGACTTTTAATAATGCAATTTGAAAATCATAATGAGTATATTAATAGTTTTGATCAAAAATTATAATAGTTTTCCATAAAACGAAAGAAATTCGTGCAATATATATATATATATATATATATCGATATATATATATATATGTATATATATATATATATATATTAGGGTGGTCCTTAAAATGGTCATTTTCGAATTTCCTTGCTCCCAGGGGCTCAAATGGTTCCAAATTGATAAAAAACGATTCTCTGAAAGTTTTAGCTCTTAATATTAACGTTTAGATAGAGCGCAATTCAATCAAAGTTTTGTATGGAAATAGCATGGAAAATTTTTCAAAAATTGTAAAAATGTTTTTTAGATGTAATTTAGCGAACAAATGAATGAATAAAACTCATTCATTTGTCGCTAAGTTATACCTAACACATTTTTTTTAAATTTTCAAAATTTTTTCCATGCTCTTTCCATACAAACTTTGATTGAATTGCGCTCTATCTAAACGTTAATATTAGGAGCTAAAACTTTCAGAGAATTGTTTTTTATCAATTTGGAACCATTTGAGCCCCTGGGAGCAAGAAAAATCGACAATGACCATTTTAAGGACCACCCTAATATATATATATATGTATATATATATATATATATATATATATATATATATGTATATATATATATATATATATCACTTTAAGGTGAACATATGATTCAAAATATAAAAATTACAAATTGAATTGAAACAAAGTGTAATTTTGTCAAATATAAAACAACTATAAATATTAGATAAATTAGTAAAATTAAAATAACAATTATAATTTGTAAGGAAAAATTCAATATTATATTGAAATTGCATGAACAAGTAAACAATTATAATTTGTAGGGAGCTTGCAAAAAAAAATTCAATATAATACTAGAAGTGCATGAACAAGTTCGATTTTGAATCAATTATAATTTGTAAGAAGCTTGAAAAGAAATTTAATACTGAAATTGCATGAACAAGTAAAAATTTGAATCATTATGTTCACCCCATAAAAATTATTTTCCTGTTATCGAGTATCACTTGTAGAATTAACAATTAAGTAATGAATTGATATTAATCGCATCATTGATTATCTTTTTTATCTTTTAGAATTTTGTCATGAATCTAATAAAAGTGATATTCGAAAATTTTTACACAAACATCTGTTGGCATTAAGATATTCATTATATTTTATCTAATATAAAATTTAATTGCAAGAGATGTATGTTTGGAAAATATCAAATATTCATGAGCTAGAATACATTTTTATAAATCATATACAGACTGTTTTTATACCCTACAATAATCTTGTATTTAAATAATGATTAAATTTGTAAAAATCATTCAAATTTTACTTGCTGTATAATAAATTCATTACAGAAGTATTGCAATACTTGTAACTCGAAAAATTTCCTTTTTATATGGAAAAACCATGCTAAACAAAAATCACTATGAAAAAGCCTTTTTTGTCAGTTTTTAATATGATGAATACCAAATACATTGGAAGGAAAATAAATATAAATATATTTAATATGAAACATTTAATAAATTATAAGAATTATAAGAATATGAATTCATTTGGATAATAAAGCAAATATAAAAAAAAAAACTACTAAAAAATGCATTTTCTTTATAGATAAAAATTAAAATTAGTTTTTACAGATATAACCTTTTTTTTGCTCTCTAGTTCTTTACTTTCATTTTTTTCCGTTGCCGAACTACAATTTTTTTTATAAATGAAAGATAAACGATTCTGTTACTTGCTCACCTTGAATAAATTTATACTATCAATTATATATAAAGACAAATTAAAAACATTGTTTAGAAACAATGATGCTCATTGTTTTGATATAAAAAACGAACTAGCTTGTACACACAACAAATTTAGTTTAGGTCATAAAACATGGATTTCTGGTCTTATCTACATATTTTCATCATGGACACAGAGTACTAAAAATTCGTAACTGTAACATACATTTTTTAAAAATTTGTTTAAAATGTTATTGTAGATATAAGCAAATTATAGTTCAGTGTTTATAATTTCGTGTAAACCCAAAAAAATAATACATTTTATTAAAAAAGATTATTTTCAATAACCGTGTAAGATTGGAAATGTGTAAACCAGGGGATAGGTCTATGCTGTTTATTTATTAGTATAAATAACTTACAGAAATCTATTGATTTAATGGTTGAATTCTTAGGTATTTGCAATAACAAACTTTTCTTTAACAAATTCTTTTGTGTAATATTTGAATAAAAAATCATAGAGAAGCAATAAAATGGTAAGTTGAAAATAAAATTAATCTATAAGTCCAAGTAATTTGTTGATTGGAGTTTCCACTCTATTAGAGCAATAAAGTTGTCTATGAAATATGGTATCTTCATTTTATGAATAAAGCAAATATTTAAAATTAGAAATAATTCAATATAAATGTGTAAGAATTTGTTTAGTCTAAATTTGAATATAGTCTAATTGAATAGTAGTAAAAAATAGTATGTCCAGACTAGGAAAATGAGAAAGCTGATCAATAAACCACTGATGATGCTAAAAGACATGAAATCAATGGATAAATTTATATTTAAAGTGTCCGCAAATAAGGAATTTAAGAGTTCCAGTAAGAATGAAGAAGTCTTCTTCGTGTTAAAAAAATATCACAAGTCTATTGATAATTAAAGCAAATTTAAGACAATTTATCACTGGGAATAAAAAATAATGAAAAGATGATAGATAGTGAATAGTATTAATCTTTTAAGGGTATATACTTGTGTAGGCTTCAAATGAATCAACTTTACTAAATAACAGTTGTTTTATAATTTTCTTCAAGATTAAGCTTAACAGCATTGATGTTTTTAGAAGAAATAAAATTACTGCGTTGCTATATTTGAATAGATATCAGGTATCAAGCAATATTGCTTAGTCTAATCAAATCATTGGTAAAAGACTCGTGCTAGATTCAAAACTGAAGCCTTTAATGTAAGACTTATGTTTGTATTGAAATTGTTATCGATAATTTAGAAAGTAATGCAATAAAAAATACTCAATTTTATATTATGTATTGATGATGTGCAAATTAATTGAAAAAATTACACTAAGAAATTTAAGTAATAAAACTCAATTAATTTCTTCATTTTTATTATCGCACATAATGTTTTTGTTGAGCATCTACCATACATGTTGTAGATAGTGCAATATATGACTACGGTGAAAAGTATACATCACATTAATCCAATCTTGTTTACAAATACGCATAACAAGACATAAAACTTAATTTTGGATGCTTATTACTTTGTAAAATTTGATTTAATTATAATTTATTCAATCATATAATCAATCTTAGTATGAATAAATATTAGATGAAGTGTTTATGAATAAGAAATATACATAATGCATTTTTGGTACATAGGGATTGCAACATGTCTTTTAACTTTTATATTATATGCCTGCCATTTTTGTACAACAAAGCAAAAGCAATTTATGGAAAATTTGTTGACTTTCCGGTTATAATTTGAATTTGTGCACAGTGGAGCCTGCACCATTTTCATAATCAATGATTATTATCTAATTTCATTTACTTTGTACAAGTCATGGACATGTATATGAAATTAAACCTGGATTGCCCATACATAAAATTACCCACGAATTTAATCAGAAATCCTTTTTTTCAAAAAAAGTAGCCCTACACCACTTTCAATATAACCAATGGTTTATATATGTACATAAAATATGTAGAATGAGAATATATCTAGATGCAAGCCTAAAATAAATTAATAACTAAATGTCTGTATATGATCCATAAAGTATTCTTAACTCATTATCTATAAAACAAAAGTATTTGACTCACTTTGAAGATTCCAGTCTTTCAAAGCAGCTGCCTGGACAGTCGTGGCTGTAACTTTTTAATCACTTGCACTTTTACACACATGCGATTTACAACTTTTAATTGTCTGAATAAAGTCTTTACACAACACACGACACTACTATACTTATATTGTAAATTCATTGGTGGTATAAAATTTGATTACTATACACTTTTGTGAATACATGGGTGGTATAAAATTTGATTCAAACAGATTTTGTCACAGTTCTTACAACTTGCTGATGCTTAAATATATTTAGATCATACTATTGCATTTATCAATATAAATAAAGGATACATTGGGATCGCTGTAAATACAATATTTGATTAAAATTTTTGGTCCTGTAAAAGATAACCTCCATTAGTTACACAGAAGTTGTAAGAACTTCAACAGACACCTGTTCCAGCGTTTTCATACACTATTCTACACCAAATTACTCTAACAGATTATTTAAACAATATGATGCGTTAATTAATTGACTTCATATGCAAATTTAATTAGAAATTTAACAAAAAACATACCACCACATGCGTTTTCACAAATAACTTTTTGACAACCAACAAAATGGCTGCCATAAACATGGCAGCTACTATGTGCGAAGTGAAGTTGGTTGGAAGTCAAAGCGCGAATTTCAAACTTAAAATTTAAACACAATCGATCACATTAATGTTTAATTTACAAAGATTCGATTCAATTTGTTTGAATTAATAAAAATCATATTGTAATTAACTATAAAGATTTATGTAGACAATATCTACTGTAATAATTTTGCTCTAAAGTAAATCAAATAGTACATTAATATAAATTTTTATTGGACACATTGGGTGATTAACCTTTAAATATCTTAAATTTATCAATTAAAATCTTATATATAAATTATAAATTTTATAAATAATTGAATTATATATATATATATATATATATTATATAAACTATATATAATATGTATATATTATATAAACTATATATAATATGTATATATTATATACTTAAAACAATTATATATAAATTATAAATTATATAAGTTATACATTATATAAATTATAAATCATATAAATTTTGTTTCTGTTTGTATTTTTGTTAGATAAAATTTTACAATCTAAGACAACCCAAATAATTTTAATATCTAGTTAGAAAATGTATACGTTAACAATATAATATCACTACCAGCTGTAAGTTTATCTCAAATTGAATTTAAGAAATATGTGTATATTACATTTATTTTTCTTGGTTTATACATAAATAAAATATGCATTATGTATTATTTTTTATTTTGGCACGGTTGGTTTAGTTGGATCAGGATTTACAGTCGGTACAGGAGATGCCGGAGTCGGTTCAGTTTTTGCCAGAATCGGTTCAGTTTTTACTTTTGATTTATAAGTAGAACATTGTACTTTCTTTTTAGATTTTTCTCTCATATCCAAAACTGGTGTTGCAGGTGGCATAGTTTTCATTATTTTGCTGTAAGCAAATCCTAAGGCCCAAGATAATTCGTGGTTGTCGTACGAGTTTAACATCTAAAATAAAAAAATATAGAAAACATTAACAAATTATAGAAATTATAGAGTAAAACAATTTTAACTTTATAATTCACAATTTCCAATTGTAAATCATTTTTATATTTGTAATAAATCAAATTTAATTTTATAATTATGATTAAGAAACAATTAGTTTTGCAATGTTAAAGTACAAGTTCTGCATGCTATTTTTATTATTTTTTACTTATTTTAATTATTTTTTCACTATAATTGATAAATAATCTTGTAAATATTTTTGTCTACTAATAAGACATTTTTATTTTCTCAATCAGAAATAAAATAAAATTTATATTATTCCTAACTGCAGTTACATGTAATCATTATTATCGTTGGAACTTCATATCTTTTGTTCATACACAATATTTTTTTGGTATACCAATATAAAATTTTAGAAATAAAAATTAAAAGTAATTTGTAATTTTGATGTAAACATAATTTCAAATTCTTAAAAAAAAATATTTTTATTCAATCTATTATAAAAGATTGAACTCTTATTTAAAATGAATGTCACCATCTAAATTAAAAAATCATATCATATCCAATTATTTAGAAAAATATCTTAATTCAATCTATTATAAAAGATTGAACTCTTATTTAAAGTGAGTGTCATCATTTAAATTATCGAACCACAATTGTAAATTGAATTAACAAAAAAAAGTACTTTTGACGTCAATTAAAATATTTATATAATAAAGTTCATACCTCTACAATATTCGAATTATGGAGTCTGAAACCTTTCGTAAGTAAAGTATGTATATAAATAAGGTCCAAACACAGAAAAGGTTCTTTGCTATTCGGATATCTGCAAACCAATTGTAACTTTTTCCAAATTCTTCCGATGGTCGTGACACCATATTCATCAGCTAAAATAAAATAAAATATTGTTAGATATCTTATAATTTTTTATTTCAGATGTTTAATTAGTATATTGATGTAAAAGTTGAACAAGATTTAAAAAAACTATAAAAATTTAACATAAAACTGCAGTTGCTGTAAAAAAAGGTAGTGGTTGAAATATCAAATTTATGTCCAAAATATGGTATATATATATAGCTATATAATTAACAGTTTTAAAAATAAATGCTTTACTTACTTATAACGTTTCCAGATTTTCCTCTGTAGTAAAATGCACTCAGAGCCACATTTGCTTCTTCGTGAAGACCATAAGGAACAGGAACGATTTTGTCTCTGACAAATCGAAGAACACGTTTTCTGCATTTTTTAATATCAACTCCAATTTGTTTATTGCTTCTTGGTTTACCTCTAAAATAAATTTGAAATTATTATTCTCCAATATATTTTATCATTAAATTAATTTATAAAACAATGAAGAATAATTTTATTTTTCAGACTTTAAAATAAAAACGAAAGTAAATGCGTTTCATATTGATAAAGTAAATTATTGCTAGTTTTAACATCAGATTACAATATCGCTTATAAATGAAAACTGATGGTATTGAAAATCATAATCAAGAAAAAAATAGAATAAAAGAAATTTAAGAAAAGAAATAGATTTAAATAAATGAATAAATAATAATATTAATAATGAAAACAACTATGTTTATAAGTAATAAATAATAATTATAATTAACTTGTTTGAAAATTTTCCTGTGCAAGACAGAGAATTTTTATTATATTTTTATAAACAAAAAAAAAATTATAAAAACGAATATTATACAATTATTTATATCTACCGTCCACAACCTAATTTTCTCTGTTTTGCACAGAAAAATTTTCAAACAATTTATTTATAAGTACTTCCCTATAAACTTCGTTTCTTATAAAAATCCTGAACCAGTTTTGAAAATTCAAAAGCGTTGGAGTTCAAAAAAAATAAACTAATTGGAAATTGAATTCAAAAAAGACAAAATAATTAGAAATTGTGCTCATTAGATTTTGGGAAAGATCAAGCTCATAATTCTTAAAAATCTAATTGCAAGAACTGAAACTTTGTCTATTTCAATAAAACTATGCATATTTTTATTCTTTAATTAATCGCAAAAAAAATAAAAAATGAAAATTTTTGCATAACTTTACGTTTCAAAGGTTTCTGAACATTTTGGAATACCTTAGAAAAAATGGATGTGTGTGTGAATGTATGTATGTATGGATACAATTTTTCGTCCACGTTTTCAGACGCACGAATCAACCGATTTGAATGATTCAAAAAATATTCGATCCCTATTGATAGGGAGATGTGCTAATTAGTTTTTGGCAAAAGCAGAACCAGCCGTTTCGGAGATAAAGAGCAAAGAATGCAGAAAATAGAAATCGAGTTTTTGAGAGAACGGAGAATCCAATTTGAATGATCTAAAGAACATTCAATTAGTAATGATTGGAAGAAGTGGTTATTAGTTTTTGGCAAAGGCAGGCCCAGCCATTTCGAAGATACAGAGCTAAATGTGCAAAAAATGGCAGTTTTTGAGGGAACTAAGCGTCCGATTTAAATTATTCAAAGAACTTTCTGCTTGTTTTATCAAAATAATTGGTTTTGAAAAAAAAATTTTTGTTCCAAATATTTTTTTTTTCAAATTTTTTTTTCAAAACAAAATTTTTTTTGTCGAAAATAATTCAGGTTTTATTTGTAATTCTGACTAAGGTTCTAATATACTTTAAACAGATATTTTTAACTTTGCAATTCAGTTTATGTAATTCGTATAAATATTAGACAATGTTTACAATATTTATTTATAATAATCTATTTGAAAACATTTAATATTTCTCGAACATTTCGTTACGGTACGGCAAGTTCCAGCAATTTGTCTTAAGGCACGATGCCATACACCCCACTAGTTTACAATTTATTTCTTAATGAGTAACAAATATTATTATGTAAGTTTTTATTAACATATAAAATTACAACCTGATAATTTAATTGTCATCTGCAATACTTTCTGTGGGACTTTTGGTATAAATATTAGAAGCTTTATGTGACCGGAGATATTCTCCACCTTTTTCATAATAATCATTTTTAGAAATAGCAATAGATGTATCACTGGATAAATCTTTTGCCCCATTCCAGGCATCTAAACTCGGGGATGTTGCCACATTTATATGATGGTGGCTTCCAAATGGACGAATTTGTGTGAGTTCCATGGTTAATCGCTCTTTTAAGCCTGCAAAATTTGCACAACCTCCGGTGATAAAGATATTTTGTGCTAAAATGGACTGGTCTTCGGGATTGAACATTTTGAAGACATGTTCTATGGTTTCTCCTAGCCCAGCTTCAGAACAACCAATGATAGACGGTTGAAACAGCAATTCTGTGGCACGGATTAGTTCTAAGCCTAAGTTCAGTTGGTGGGAGTCACCCATATCGTTGTATATGGATTTGCAGTTGTCCACGGTAAAGGAAGGATCATATTGGCGCAGGATGTCTTCAAGTTCTGCCAGCTTTTCATTCTCTTCCTCGCTATCACTGTCACCACCTTCTTTGCTGATGGTTTTGTATACGTCCCAGTCTTCATCACGTATGCCAAAATCGTCATTACCCTTTTCTTTACGTGCCAACTGTGAAATTATTCTCATACGCTCCTGAGCAGCTACAGTGCGTCTACGTACCATATCTAAACGCCTTTGTTTCTTAGCAGCCTTGTGATCTAAAATAGCTTGCCTCTTGTTTTTTGTTACATTGAGCCACTCATTTATATCTGTTCCCAATTCCGGTCCAAAATTTTTTGCAGAACTTTCTTCTAAAGCATCAGATTCCAAAGTACTTTCTGTTGCAGCTTGATAAGCCTTTTGTTCAGCTTTTTCAATGCGTGCTTGCACACACACAATAGCTTTTTCAACATCTTCATAAGTTTTAATATCAAAATCACCCATATCATCTATTAAATCCGTCGTATGCCCATCATCAAGGTACTGCAGCAATTCAGTTAAACGAGCAAGTAGTTGTCGCTCTTGCACTAACTTATCTTCTCTTTTTCTAGCATTCATCTCAATTAACCTACGTGCTAAACTGCGTCTGCGCTCAAACCGTTGATCAGGTGTTAAACCTGGATTCACGGTTACTGAAGGTATTGGGAATTGAATTTTCTTAACATTCTGCTGGTAATAATCCACGCAACCCCATTTTTTAACTTCCTCTAAGTAGTTAGAAGAAACATAACAATGGTCGTGAACAATATCTTCAACTCTACTTGGTGTAATAATATTTGTATAAGCCGGATACTTCAGTTGTAGCAGTTTGTGCAAAAAGCTGGTGATGTTAGAACCACCTATGTTGATTCTTCTTGCTTTCTCAATAATGCTTGTGTTATTTATGACAGGTATGACATGTGTAGTATTGTGACCTATGGATATTATTAATGCACTTGCACTATCTAAGCAAGTTCTCCGGTTGTAGTAAAAACTAAGTAAAGCATCAACACCATAAGTCACACAAGGAACATCATAGCACTCAAACAACAATTCAGACATTAAATTCCTTGTATAATTAGGATTTAATAACGCCTCTGTCATAACTATTGGATGCTTCACACTCCTCTCAGTATCAATGCCTATATGTGCAAAAATATAGTCCAGAATTTGCTCCTGAGCTTCAAAATGCGTCACAATGTCTTTATCAAATTGGGTTTTTAGCTGAAAGCGCACTGCCTCAATGTTAGTTATATCATTGCCAATTTGTATCGGAGGGGTAGTTGGGGGTTCATTATCTTTTCTCACCCTTTCTTTGCGAGGTTTTGCTATCAAGTTTCTGAAAACTAGCCGGGGTGATTCATCAGAGGTCCATCCTACTCTACATTGATAAGACCCATTGTCAATTATTAAGGGTATTGAAGTTTCTTTCTCGACATATTTGTGGAAAATATCTGCCACCACTTTCTTGTCTGTTAACTTAAATAAATTAGTCGGATTTGAATCAGTCATTATTAACAAATCGTAGCCCGAGTGATAAAAGACACAATACGAGCACAATAATAGTCTTCAAAATTCACTGAATTTAATACGAGCAAGATTAATCGAGGAATAATATCAATATTGTTATTAAATTTGTTTAGTATACAATAGGTTATTTCTGATTCCTATAAACACAAGTGAAGTTGCCTCTGGAACCTATCTGTCAAAATCGTAGTGTTTCCATAGACATTAAATTGTGCAATTATGGGAGTCGCCTGGTTCATTTATATGTGCCAACACCTGTGGCAGCACTTGTCACGTTTTAGTTTCAGTTTGTTTTAAAAACTATGCTGTCATGAATATCAATAAAAATTTAAATAAACAAGTGGTGTACGGCATTGTGCATTAAGGCTAATTGCTGGAACATCTCGTACCGAAATGAAATGTTAAAGAAATATTAAATTTTTTCAAATATATTATAATACGGTAGCACTTCATCACTTTTCATCACACTTATTTTATATGTAGTGTGTGTTGGTTGTTTTTTGCGCAACTTGGGAAGCGTCCATTAATCACGTAATTGATTTTTTTTAAAGATTTTTGAACCCCCTCCCCTTTGTTGACACGTGGTGATATTCAAAATTACCTTCCCCTCCCCCGCCAAACATCACATGCATTTTTAGTTTTAAGAAAAAAGTGTAAAAGTTTTGATATTTTTTAAAAATGTTTGAATTTTTTTCAAAAAAATTCAGGTAAAGAATAAATACACGTGATATCTTACTAGACCTCTCCCACACCTACCTGACATATCATGATTTTTGTTTATTTTGTCAAACTTTAGACTATGTGTTTGTATGAATGTATGTATGGATACAATTTTTAGTCAACATTTTTGGAAGCACCGGTCAACCGATTTGAATCATTCAGAAAACAATCGATTCCTATTGATGAGAAGACTTGCTGATTAGTTTTTGACAAAGGCAGATTTAACCGTTTCGGAGATACGAAGCAAAGCGTGCAGAAAATAGAAATCGAGTTTTTGAGAGAACGGAGCATCCGATTTGAATTATTTAAAAAAACATTCCATTCATATTGACGAAGAAAAGTCGTGATTAGATTTTGGCAGAGACAGGTTCAGCCGTTTCAGAGAAGCCAAACGTGCAAAAATTGGCAGTTTTTGAAGGAACGAAGCAATATGATTCAAACAAAAAATCTTTTGCTTGTATTGACAAAACGGTCATTTTTCAGGAAAAAAATTCAGCTAAAATTTTGAAGCTCACTTATATACTTGAAATAAATTATTTTAACATTTCAATTCAATTTATATAATTCTTAAGAATATGAAACAAGGTCCTTCAATCTAACTCAGCTTGATTAAGTTTTGTTTATTCACTTTTCATGTAAACTTATGTAATCGTCATGGTCCAATTTATAAGCTCTTATATTTTGTCTATAAAATACGAAGAATGAGTGTTACTGTATTTATTATAGTATTTTGAAAACATTTAATATGCTTCAAAAATTTCATTATGAAACAGAAACTTCCAGTAATTTTCCTTAAGGAACGATGCCATACACCATTAGTTTCATCTTATAATTGATTATAAGACAAAGTATTTTTATGATTTATTAATAAATGCTTATTTACCTGACATGTAATACCATGTTGTTGAAAGTAAAATTCTTATATGGAGTAAATCTGTCGTAGCAAACGCTTGTTACATGTGAATTATTGTGCAATGGATGGGGATAGTCAAATTGCAAAATTCCTTGACGGGCAGCACTTAGACCCAAACCCAAGTAACTGAAATAAAAATACAAAAAAATAAAATTAACTTTGTATTAAAATCTGTGTTTTAATATTCTTAGTTTTTGCAAATTCTACAAATATCTCTAATTATTTGCACATTAATTACTTCTTTTAAATTATTTCTAAAGTGTAAAATTTAAAAAAAGGATTTAATAATTTAAAAAAAAAGTTATAGTTTTTTCCTCACCTGTGGGCAAAAACTTTAATGTTCGGTTTTGGAGAATCATAAATACTATTTCTCACATAAGGAACATATGGACGATTTACTTCATATGTTACTTGTGAAGATCCACCGCCCATTTCCAATGTGGCATAGGTGTGATGTTTTTTCAAAGAATCTACAATAATAAAAATTAATGATACTTTTTTGTACTTTTAGTGCCTGTACATAAAATTAATGTATTTGGACTTTAATTTAATATTGAACAAAATACAAGTCAGCACCACGCTGGTATTTATATACTATTTTAAACCATGGTATTTATATACCATTTAACACCAATTTTTGACTCTAACACCCTCATCATCATCAAACTCATTTTTTGTCGTAACCGTAAAATTAAAAAAAAATTAACTAATGTAATTGTATTGAAGCTTCATATACAAATAATGGAAAAATAAACTTGATTAAGGGACCGATGCTGCTGCACAATAGACCATTGTTATGGCAAGGCCATGTTTCGCCCCAACTTCCATACATTATGCTACTGAATCATACTGAATACTGTCAAAATGTCATGTATTTGCTGTGCATTCAGGCGTTTTACACATAAACTGCAATGTCACTTGTATGTTATGAAGCTGAGTCAGAAAGACCCTGTTATCTAGCATAGTTTTTTTTGACATTAGTGCGGTTTCTGAATTAGGTTTTCGCCTAAAAAACGCTTGACTGCATGGCTTTTGTCAAAATTTAGTATAGAAAGTTCTTCATATCATAGCCTCGTCATAACATTGATCTATGGAGAAGCAGAATCGGTCCATAGGGTTGTGGTCTTACCTTACCAAACCCAGGTTAGGCTTGATTGAAGTTATAAAAGTCATGATGAATAGAATTATCAAAAACCCTGGTCTGATGTTTAAAAAATCTGCATATTACTATTATTCTTACGTTTAAAATAGTTAACAGTGAACCAAGAAAACAATCCTTCCTCAACTCCTGTCAACATAGCAGCTGCATCCTTAGGAGCCTTATAACCAGTACATTCCAAGGCATTTTGGACAACTTGGAGAAGTTCTGCAGATTTTTCATCCCCTAAAAGTCTTAATCCTGCTGTAGCCCTCAAATAAACTTCTGTTTTGGGTTTGTCATCTTTAGGAACAAAGTCCTTGACTTCTTGGACGAGCTCGTAAATCTTTTGTGCACCCTTCAATAAAATAAAATGAGTAGAAATATATTCCTACAAGATGACTTTCATATACTGTCTTATATATTTTGATTTAAAACTAGGTGATCATAAACTTTAGTCGATAATATGTGATAATAGTGGACAGGTAATTTTTTTCTTTTTTTTTATTGGTTTAACACCAATCAGAACTCTTACTTTACATGCTCTATAAGTTGTTTGTTGAAGACTTATGACCTAACGTATTTCATGAGAGGCAACCCATCGGTTTACCATTCTCCTATGTGTGTGGTTTATATTAGCTCTTACGTCTAATAGTTATCATATGATTGAATAATGCTGCTATGTCCACGAAGGATGATTTCCACTTGAAATTATATTGTGATCTATAACCTCAAGTGGAAAGACAGGTAAATTGATGTAACAAATATGCATTTTTGTTTAAGTTTTTAATTGAAAATAAAAACGTCGAAGTGTGAATGGGTACAACCAGTATTTCATAAATAATATAGTTATATAATGCGTATCTTCTTATATATAAAAATTAATCGCAAAATGTGTTGGTAAGCACATAACTCAACAACGCCTGGACCAATTTGGTAATTTTTTTTTTAAATGTTCGTTAATGTCCAAGAACGGTTCTTACGGCGAGAAAAATTCGAATAATCGTCGAGAAAAGCCTAAAAACAGCCCTTTTCTTTTTCACATGCAAACGTTTTCTAACTAAAACGTAAAATCAGTTTGACCTTTATTGCTATTATATAAAGTTCATATTGAATTACAAGCCCTCACTGTATACTCCTTCTGAACGATTATTCGGATTTTGATAAATCTTTCTGAAGTTTGTTAAGAAAATTTTCTAGAATGTATGTGATTATAAAGTACTGGGATGTATGCGCAATATTGTAGAAATTGTGTTAAGAAAATTTTCTAGAATGTATGTGATTATAAAGTACTGGGATGTATGTGCAATATTGTAGAAATTGTAAAAAACAACATGCCATTGTTTGCATTGAAAACGAATGAAAACTATCATATGCCAAAAATTTCAATTTACTTATAAACTTAGACAATATTAGAATATGTATAATGAATTTATGATTATGACTAAGAAAAATGAAATGTCTACATTATTATTGCCAAAAAGCAGCTAAGATGTGCCAGAAATTAAAATAATATAAAATACAGTATATGTATGGCAGATTGAATGATGCACATATGAACAGGATATGACAAATTAATTCACTTGAAATATGAAATTAAGTATTAGTCAGCGCCGGTCCTAGTTTTAATGCGATGCATGCAAAAAATACGAGCGCACGCCTTAGGGGGCACCAACACAAGATTCAGATATTAAATTTTCAATATAGGTTTTTTTTCAATATATAATTTCTTTGCATCTTTTACTAATCTTACCCTAATATTTTTAAAATTCGTAAAATTTTCTCTTTATAACAACAAATGGGAAAGTAAAGATGAATACATACAATTCGGCCCTCACGATATCGATTAGGAGAAGTACAAGATGCAATTTTGTAGTGCCAGTGTTATGTTATGGCCATGGTTATGTAATCCTGTTTAAAAGATTTCAATTTCCAATATAGTGTAGGAATTGAGACTCATGATTTTTTTAAAGCAGTTCTACATTTAACATCGCTCATATCATAAATGTATATGCATTTTGGCGTGAAGAGTAATTAAAAAAAAAACTTATTTTTAGGTAAACAGGAAATATTAGTATATTATATTAAAAAATTGTAGACATGGGTACAGGACAACGGCTGTCGGGTCATCTAGTTTTAAATAAAACTCACCAATTCTGGATCATGTGCATATGATGATAATCCTGGTCTGATTTTTACAAACTTTTCCTCGAGCAGTTGGAGATCTCTACCTACATTTATTAAAAAATAAATGATCATTAGTAAATGATTTTGATGAAGTGCCTTTTTTACAAAAATTGACCAAAAATGACAATTCGGTTTAATCACATTATATTAATTAAAGCATTATTACTAGTGCTAGTAATAGTTTTCATAAGAATTAAAAAAAATGTATTTATGTTATTTTATTTCTACGAGTTGTCTTACTGCAAATAATCATTTTCAATTATTTATTTTGATTAAAAATACCTGTTTTTGAAAATTTATATGCCACAACTCTGGATCCTGTTGATCCTGCGTCGATTACAAGGATGTAAACGATTTTTCCATTTTTTTCTTGCCCTGCATTTGGAAGATCCTTTTTGACTTCACTACCTGCTATAATAAAATAGAAATATACAAATTATTTTTTGAAAACTTGGTCAAAAAAACATTTTCTAATTTTTTTCAAAAAAAAAAAAAAAAATCTCAGATACTGACTTATTTTTCGAATAAAAATCTGTATCGTCTTTATCTAGGTTTCTGTTTCTAGAACTGACTGGAAATATGTATCTACTAACCATTTATACCCAAATTGCAAACCAAAGCAAAAATTAAAAGACCTGACCAAGAAAACATTTGCTAAATTTTTCCAAAATTGTTCAAATTTAGAAAATGTTTCTCAGATACTGACTTTGCATTTTAAAACCAAGATCAAAACCTATTGATGATGATGATGATAATATTTACGCAAATGTAAGAATTGCACAAGCTCATATTTGCGTATGTGACATGGGTAGATATTGCATAATTTATTATTTTGTATGTTAAGAACAATTTATTATTGAACGAAATAAATAATTTGGAAATCCATTATCAATTTGTTTTAGCCATATTTTCAAAAACAAATGTCAACAAATTATTTTTGTAATAAATTGTAATAAATTATTAGAGTGGGGCACAAAGGTTCAAGTCGACTTTGAGCAATTACATTGTGAAAATCAGACGAATTTTATCACAACAAATATTTTTTTTTATTATTTGTATATATTTTTTGTATAATTTATTACTTTGTTCAAACATTCATTAATTTATGTATTTAATATTTATTTATTATTATTTATTATTTTAGATATTCATTATAAATCGTAGTAATACAAAATAAGGTATTAAAAGTAGTGACATCATCTCACCATACACCTGCCTTTGGGTATTAATAACGATGAGTATATATTTATTAAGATTTCACTTAAATTACTGTGCCATTTGTAAAATATTATAAATATTTTATTAACAATGTGTTAAAAAAATTATTAAATGACGATTTTGAGCAACATTTTGTAAGAATAAACGACGTATATTTTTATTCTTTTTTAGAATTTATTTTAATATTTGAATAAATAAAAAATATTGAAGACATTCTGCTTATTGAATAAAACTCTCGACGACTTTGTATATAAAGATTTACTATTAATTGTCTCTTACAGATTATGAAGAAGAAATATATTTTGATGCATTGTAATCATTGTACAAATGTTTATATGAGTGATATAATTTATTGTCAATAAATACAACAATATGTAATATTTTTTTATAAACACTGTAGTTATTTGCCCTCTTAAATACAAGAATTTAATACCTAACATCAGAGGCCAATAAAAGAAAAAATAAATTAGTGGTGTGTATGGCATCGTGCCTTAAGGAAAATTGCTGGAACTTCCTGTACCGTAACGAAAAGTTCGATGAATATTAAATGTTTTCAAATGGATTATTATAAATAAATACTGTAACTTGTCTAATAATTGTAAGAATCTGAATTAGTTTCGATATAAAAAAAATTTTTTTTGAAAATATTTTAAACAACAAATTTTTTTTCCAAAAGCAATTATTTTGTTAAAACAAGCAAAAAGTTGTTTGAATCATTCAAATCGGACACTTAGTACTCTCAAAAACTGCCGTTTTTTGCACATTTAGCTCTGTATCTCCGAAACCGATGGACCTACCTTTGCCAAAAACTAATCAAATTGGTTGGTTCGTGCATACGAAAACATGAACGAAATATTGTATCCATGCATACAGACATACATACACACACATCAATTTTTTCTGAAGTATGCCAAAATGTTCAGAAACCTTGAAAACGTGAAAAAATGTAAAAATTTTCAATTTCGATTTTTGGACGATTACAATAACTTACCCTACGGGAAGTGGAAAATATATTTTGATGCATTGTAATCATTGTAGAAATGTTTATATAAGTATAAGAATTTATTGTCAATAAATACAACAATATATAATATAATAAAAAAAAATAACATTCGTCCTGATTATTAAGATGTAAATATTAACTTTCTAAGTTAAGCCAGAAAATCCTATTTGCTAATTTTATGTTAAGGTGAAGTTTTTTTTATGTTTGCTAAGTTTATTTTTTCACAATTAACTCTATTTGACGCCGATATTGGAAAAAGTAAGTAAAGTGTGTACTTAAGCCAATTTTGACCAATCTTCCACGATTTTTTAAAAACTGCTGCACCGATTCCAAAATTTTAAAAGCCATTTGATGCAACTTGATGAAGAGTTTTGTTGTCTCCAATTCGAATTTTTAAATTTAGGTTAGAATTTTTTGCACTCCTGTTTTCTAGAATACTGTGTAAAGTCGCTTCTATATCTTAGATCTAAAGTCCTCATTTGCTTCCTGACTTGTTTTCCATATGCAACATAATTATATATCAATTTCACCATGAAGTGGTGAAACATATCTTATTCTGACAGATTTCACTGTATCTTGCACTGTATTTGCACTTGTTTTTGCAAATTTGTGTCTTAATTAACAGTATTTTTTTTATTTCCATATCAATTACAATCTGTCTCCAAGAGACATTCAGTAATTAGATTGTTAGATGTAAAAACTGATGCTTAAAAGGTTATCCAGTAGTAAACCTTTTAGTTATGATATGTAACAATTATGGCAAAATATTTAAAAATATAGTTACTAACACCTATTGTAAGTCTGAACATGCATAAATAATATATGACTATAAATACATATACATATAAATAATTCCTACATAAACTAACTTTACTTATTCTGAGTAGTGATTGTCTTTTTAATCTTAACAGTATGACTAGAATTGAAATTTATAATATCTTTAGGAGCCAAGTTGAATAGCACATCAATTCTAAAATCGGTTCAGTGGTTTAGAAGTTCATCCGGATCAAATATCTTCGATTTCTATATTGTTTATAGTGTTTATTTCCATAATCCACAAATAATGCATATGAATTATTGCCACGTGCAATTGTAACAAATACTATTCAGTTGTAATATCAGTTGCATTTCATTACGACAAAACTGCACCTAAATAATGACAATAATTAAATAATTTACAGTTGCATAAAATCTGTAATTGTAGTCATCCAGTTATGTACAGTATTGACGATATTCGAATCCTGAATCTATTATTATTAATCTATTATAATGGCCGGATGTTTTTTTTCGCGATTCGGTTTATGAGAGCACAAATATAATGATTCCTATTCAAATTGGTGAATTAAAAGCAGAACATGTTGCACACACAATTAATGCCATTTAATAATGATGTCCGAAGTGGTAAAATCAATTGACAAACGTCGATATAAAACCAAATGACCGAAGTTTGAAATTTTATGTAGTATAGCGAAGGAAATGCAATTTCTGAAACCCAGACTAGGTTTTTTGTCAGAGTATGTCGTATGACTAAAACCTCCTTAAATTTGTTAAATTTGCTTTTAACGCAATTTTTTATAAGAGTTGAATTAAGTGAATATTAGTGTTTGTTAGTAATTAGATCTAGTCGTAAGAGCATGCATGTTCAATTACTGTCTTCAGCCTCGGACAACCTGATATCAAGCTGTAGTGATAACTGTTGAAAACATAGATCTAAATATGATATCAAGTAACACTATATTACTAACATAATTCCACTATATATGTGATAATAATCTCTTTACAAAAATTAAATTTAAATTTTATATTTTCACAAAAAAATAGTGAAGCTCTGGCGCCAAAATTAGAAATAGTATGTGTGTATATAAATATCCTTAATATGGATTTTTTGTTCTTTAATATTAAGACTTAAAACTTTCCTTTTCTTTATCAATTTGGAAACTTTTGAGACCCTGGGAGCAAAGAAATTCGGAAATATCCATATTAAAGACCACCCTAGTATATATGTACTTAGACTAAATTTGACCATCCTTAAAATGGTTTCTCGATGTTTTCTCAAAAACCACTACACTGATTTTAAAAATTAAAAAAATCAGTCGGTGTAATAAATCTAAGCAAATTTTGCAATTAAGCTCAATAATTTCATATAAACTTAAGAAAACTAGTAATTTCCTATATTATTCATTACTTAATAAATTAATTAATATTTACCTTTACCTAATAACTAGTATTTTTCGCACCACTATCATCTCATTTATCTAAATTGTTATTTTGATTTCAAGGACAATTTTAAAACCTATATAAACTGAGATTGGTGTTAATTTTAACACATTAGTTAAAAATTAATTAGTGAAATTATCAATAATTTCAAAATGATCAAATCAGTAGTGATTGGTTTTGCTTTTGCATTGATGGCTGTATCAGTTCATGTAAGTAGAAACAAAAAAATAAATAAATAAATATATGTATATATATATTAATTTAAATAATTCAAATATATATATTTTTTTTAATTTTTATTATATATCCCAAAGAAGTTTATAAAGTAAAAGTATATTCCAGAAAATCTGACTTGCCAATGCTTTTTTTCTAGACGTACCAAACTATTTTGAATACTTTAAAAAAAAATGTAATAAGAGTATGTGTGTATGTGAGACAATTTTTGACTTTTAGTCGACATTTTGAAAAACCAGAACTGAACAGTTTTCAAAAATGTAATAGACATTCGACAAAAACGCCCATTGATTAGTTTTTAAATTGAATTTAATTCTCATTAATTAATTAAGCATATTATTAGTATCCTTCGGACAAAATGCCACTTACATCTAGTTTAAACAATTTTTGATCAATTTTAGGCAGGCAAGCCCGAGTTATCAGAAGAAGCCAAGGAAGAACTGGTGAAGATCACAAAAAAATGTATAGAAGAATCTGGAGTTGATCCAAGTAAGTAATTAGGCAAAAAAATAGAAATTAAAACAATTTTCATTTAAGGTATCTCCATAATAGTAAAAGTATTATATGTAAAGAAAGTACCTGCATTACACACAAAAAATGCTCAAATTAATGTGTGATAATTTTTAATACTCGTAAATTTTTCATTTCAGTTTTGTTCGCCAATAGAGTTACAGATGCAACTTATTTTCATGTTACTGATTTTATATTTTATATTTAATACATTTTTTAAACATTCTCT